TTCTCTTTCTTCTTGTGAGTTTTTACTCAAGATAATCTCTTGGCTGTCATTTTGGTGGTGTTTCAAAAGGAAACATAGGCAAATGTGGCTCAATATGCCATGTTGTGTGTCACTTCCCTTTCCCCACTATCCAAGTTACAATTCTCCTCCTTCCCGATCTATGCCTTCTATACTGGGTGCATAGTGCTCACAACTTATTATTTGCTTCAGGGTAGGATGGGCTAATGAGTCACAAAAAGACATACAGAGACCTGACCTGGATGAGTGGACATAGCCTAGGTATCTAGCACCCAGGGCTGTTATAGGAGGTGGAGAGACTCCTGGGAGATACGTGCACGCATTCACAGTTTTACATGGAATGCATTATGTGCGTCATGTGAAGGAAAGCCCTGTTGTTGGAAACGCAATGAGAAGGTGCGTAGGGCGTGTGTATGTACACACTTTTGCACACATTGGTGTACTGGGTAGCAAAACAGTGGTCTGCCAACAACCTTGTTATTTGTCTTTCCCATGGCCTCTCTCTTCTGTTCTTGACAGTATAACCTTCTTTTGGGGAAATGCTCCTCCCTCCGTCTTGATGATGTAGGTCTAATGGGTGTGGCCCATCACAGACACACAGACCGGCAGTAATACAGCCCAGGACAGCAGGAATCCTTCCTTGGAGTTTTCTAATCCAAGGTAGAAAAACACAACCTCTTGAGTGGCGACTCTGTGGCTGTGCACCTGAGGCCATCGGCAGTATTAGGAGAAGGTGCTTCACAGCAGCAGGGAATGGAGATGGCATTCTGAGAGTAACCAAGAGATGGAGAAGCTACAGGTGGGCATCCCGGCAGCTTTTCCATTGCTTTTGTGATCCATGAACATTTCTGCCCTTTGCTTCCTGCTTTTGCCTTTGTCTTTGTGGGGTTGTCCCTTTTTTTCCTTCTTGTTTTTTTTAACTAAGAACAGGTAACATGAGATCTAACCACTTAACACATTTTTAAATGTGTACAGTGTAGTAGCCATTATGAACACAATGTTATAAAGCAGATCATTAAAACTTAAACTTTTTCATCTTGCTTAACTGGGTTTGTGCTTTTTGATGTTAAATTTTAATACCTGAAGTTAAAAAGAGTTGATACTAATATACCAACCAAATGCACAAAGCATAAGTTTGATACTGGAAGTCTTTGTTACTGCCATGGTTCTATGAAATGCCCAGAGAATTGTGAAAGTTTAAATATTCATAAAAAGTCATAAAGCAAAGGCTTTAGGAGATACTAAAAAAATTAAAAATATTGGCATCATTTACCATATTGGTCTGAAAGTACATTATGATTAGAAACAGTACAATAGTCCACAGAATAATATCACCATCCTCATTCTGAACCCTGTGGAAGGAGAGCGACTGAAGCAAGCTTCGGAGGAATCAGGTAGAAGGGGGGATTTTAAGTCTCTGTTTAAAAGTTTTGAAAGTTTTTTGTTGTTTGTTTTTAAGTGTATTGTTTTGGTTCTTTTGAAAGAAAGCAAATTTCCAGAAACTAATCATACTGAAGCAAAAAATGAAATTTCTACTCAATTATAGCAATTTCAATACAGGCATACTGAAAGAATATCATACAAAGCAAACCCCTACAGTGGACCCTTACAGGAACATAATTCATAGTATCTCACATGACAGCCAGCATCTCTGAATTTAAGGTTTTCTTCTTTAAAAAGTAACTCTTGGGGTGCCTAGGTGGCTCAGTCATTAAGCGTCTGCCTTCAGCTTGGGTCATGATCCAGGGGTCCTGGGATCAAGCCCCATATCGGGCTCCCTGCTTGGCGGGAAGCCTGCTTCTCCCTCTCCCACACCCCCTGCTTGTGTCCCCTCTCTCACTGTCTCTCTCTCTGTCAAATAAATAAATAAAATCTTAAAAAAAAAAAAAAAGTAACTCTTGGGGTGCCTGGATGGCTTAGTCGGTTACGTGTCCAACTCTTGACTGTGGCTCAGACCATGATCTCGGAGTCCTGGGATCAAGCCCTGTGTCGGTCTCTGCATTCATCAGGGAGTGGGCTTGAGGATTCTCTCTCTCTCTCTCTCCCTCTTCTTCTGCCCCGAGGCCTGCTCATGCACATGCACCCACTCTCTTTCTAAAATAAATAAATCTTTAAAAAGTAAATAAATAAAAATAAAAAGTGAACTCATATTTGTGACAATCTTCTATTTGGACTAATACAGTATTTTTGACCCTTGTGGCTGTCACTATTTTTATACCCACTGCCTACTGAAAAGGTAGAAACCGTAGCTCTTAAATTTTTCTTGCATTTTTATTTCTGTGCATGTTTTGTCTGATTCAGTGATTTATTTCTTATGCTGAGCTCTAAAGGAACTTTAATTCCCTTGAGGATTCTCTGCCCCAGCAGAGACGGTTCTGTGATTGGGCTGATGTGCTGGGTTCCTAGCTTTCATCAGACTCTGGAGACACGGGTCTGACGACATTCAGAGGAGGAAAGAAAAACTGATGAGTCCTTAAGGAAGTATATAGAATACTAGCTGGGAAATTTACCAGGTTTGATAACTTGGGCCATGAAAAGCCAAATCTATGAATTATGCAATTAATGTCCACATGTTACATCATAATCTCATCCCAAATATAAATGAAATCTCCTAAAATTCTAAGGACTAAATCGTTAGGGTGGGACCATCTTGTTCTCATATGGCCTCTACTCCAGCAACTACTCTTCTCCATAAATGAAAGCGCCCAGTCTTCCGTTCTGGCCCGCTAAGGTCTTGGCTGCCTTTTTTTGCTGCTCAACCCCTATACAGTGTGACAACCACCTTGAGGATTGACCAACTCTACTAGACTTAGCTCAGCTAGAAAGAGGTACTAGCTAAACTGTTGACTTTAAAATAAAATCTTAATCCAGGCTATAGTATACCACCTGAAACAACTTTCAAAAGTGACTGACAACTGCCGCTGGCCACTTAATCCTAAGTCTGGGCTCAATACCACAACACCCAGCATAAAGGCTGGTCCTTTCACAGAAGCAGCAGTGATTATCATTGTTCCTGAGCCCCCTCTTTCAGTCTTCTCAAGCAAAAAACATTGTTCAGAAAGAGCTCCCCCTCCCCCCGCAATAGCCTCTGGCAGCTACATTCAGCTGCGGTCACTGAATGTCTGGGGCCTTGGTCACCAGGCACTTAGGGCCCTCAGGGACTCAAGTGACTCAGAGTGACAAAACTAGTAAATGAAGAGAACTCAGACGAAGTGACACGCTAATAGCTGGCCTTGCTAAGACTAATCTACCACATGCAAGCTGACTTGTTTCAATAATCCACCTTGGTTTCTTGGTTGTGAAATGGAAACATCCCTGGAGTTGATATTTAGATTCCAGGTCTGGATTTGAACACTAAGGGTGTTTTAATATAAAAAATTAAGGACTAAGGTCAGCAAGGGTTGCCGCAATATCTCAGTTGGTAGGAGAGGTTTAATTGTTCTGTATCCTTCCAGAAGCTCTCTGTTCTCCTTGAAAGGGTATTATTTGTAAGTTACCTCTTCGTACCCACTTGTTCTCTCATTAGTTTACTTCTTAAATAATGAAAACAGTATCTTAAATTCTCACATAACCCCACAAGGTAGACACTCTTATTGTCCCCATTCTATAAATTTAAAAAATGAAGATACGAATCTTGTTCAAGGTCAGGGGAGGGCCAGGATCCAAATGCCGATAGTCTGGCTCAAGTCTATGCTCTGGGCATCGATACCCCTCAACTCTGCCCAAAGGAAGTGGTGTGGCTGTTCCCTGATGGTAGTGACTCAGGAAGATGGAGGGCAAGCGCTCTTACCTGGTTGGTCTTGAGTCTCCTAGTGAATAACACTGCATTATCAGGTCACTCTAATTTATTAAGTCCCTAACTCCTCTATTCCAGGGTAGCCTTACAGTGCACTCCTTAGCTTCCTTCCAAGCCTCTTTCCCAAACTTGCTTGATGGTAAGAATCACCTGGAATACTTATTGTTGAAGGTGTGGCTTCTCAGGATCTCAGGATCCACTGGGTTTGATGTTGTCCCAGAAGATTACATTTTTAACAACCAACCTAGATGATTCTTCCGAGTCTTCTCATCAGTCAAGTTTGGGAAACAGTGCTCCAGGAGTTTTAGCCAATGGGAACGAACACAGTTGATCTTAAGTATATTACATGTTAAGTCAAAGTATCATTAAGAAGATGACATTCCTATAGCTGAATTATCCAAAGCAATCAGTACATATGGCACAAAGTAGTTTTCTTCAGGAAGAACTTGGGGAGTCAGTTGGAATGTCTTTGTTGTTTTTTTTTTCTTCTCTTTGGGTGATGACTGTTAGAAAGAATTCTTTAATGGCTATGCCCTTGAGGGAGTTCCTGCAATGCTCTGATTATGGAACAGCTCAAATCAAACAGAACGTAAGCCATTTTATAGAGTTCTTTTAAGTCCTAAGAGAATTTTGGAGAAGAGTAAATTAAATAAAGAAGAGAAAGGAGTACACAGCTCTAGTTCCTTGTAGGACCCTAAAGGAAACTCCTTGTATAACTAAGAGAGAGACTCAGGCTTTCAACTTAAATGTTCATGAATCATATACAGAATGATTTAGGAGAATATCAGAGATTAATTCAATTCACACAGTCTAATCAGGAAGCAGAAACGATCTTTGACATTTAAAGAACACAAATGCAAAATTGTTGTAATTCATGATCATCAAAATACTGTTTAATGTTAAAAAAAAAAAAGATCTCAAAAGTGCCTCATCTGCTTTGACACTCTCTCTATTCACTGCTTATCACAAATGAAGAGCTTCCACCCCAGGCACCACTCACAAGCCGACTCCTTCGGGTGCTATATTTACGAGTTAGTAGGAAAAAAAGGAAGAAAAAAATTAGAAAATCATACTAAAAGACAGTTAAAGGAGAAGAAAGCAAGCCAATCCTTTACGTCCTATGGAATGCTCTGCTTCCCAGGCCAGGCCAACTCTGAGCAGTGACTGAGGCACGAACCCTACATACCTCTTGGTGGGGGTGGGCGCTCCGGAGGACGTGTGGCTCACCATGGTGTCATTCATATTAGTCAGCGGCCGAGGTGGACTGAAAGCAAAGACATTTACATTATATTAATAATTACCAACATGACCAGGGGAAACAAATGAAAGAGTGATAAGAGCAAAGGAACCAACTATCATTCCTCCTGATAAGCACAGTGGGAGCCAGGTGGGAATCGATACGTGCAGCCCAAGCAAACTCCACAGGAAGGGTTCTCGAGCTCAAAGCCAACGGGCCATAGAGCTGTGCTGTACCAGGAGGAGTGACCAATTCCACACACACTGCAACAGGGATTAACTCCGCTGGCTTTTGTTTCCTAGTTTAGGACACAAGTCTGAGCTGCTACTTAATTAATTTCTCTGCATTGTAGGTGTTTTCCAGCGTTATGAGACCTTTGATGTTTGTGGTATACAGGTCACAATAGCGACATGCATGTTTTTCCTGGTTTGGTTAGAGATCACTGTCTTCCCTCGGACTTAGTTCCCATATTTTTTCCAAAACAGACTGTTAAATACTAAATTCTTTTATTAGTCCTTTACTAGAACCTTAACAATTTTATACTGATCCTCTAATTAGAATGCTTCCTTTAATAACCTAGTCCAAATTTAAATTTGAAGGTAAGTATTTTTAAAAACTTGTCTTTAGCGCTGGTTTTCTGGAGTCAAGGTCTATTGCTTCCTCTTGGAGAGTCTTAAATGAATGAATCCAAACTTACCAAAAGGGATCTATGATTTTGCCTTTCAGCCATCTTCAGCTCCTCTCCCTCCCCACCAAGTTCAGCTGCAAAGGGTTTCTGTCTTGCATTTGGAGCCACATGACTATTGCTAAATATTACTCCTGGGAAATCTCTCACTTCCTCTTCTAAATTGAAAGAAGTACTTTTCAGAGAAATTTGTCCATCAAAGCCAAAAAGTGAAGTAGAAAAGTCCTTCTCATATTTAGATGCTGGGAACTAGCTCCTGGTTTCTCCTTATATTTAAATGCTGAGTTAATTATATAAAGTGTTTTTGTAGAGGTTATACTTAGCAAGTTTTGGTGAATATTAAGGGACCAGAGTCTTTGCTATTTTGCAGGTTTTACAGTACACTCAAACAGAGACTCAAGGGAAAATTTTCAGGTAAAGCCAAGGAATCTAAAGGAAAGGTTAAGAAGGATGGATCAATCTATCTATCAAACTACCTGCGTAAATACCTACCTACCTACCTACCTCTGTACCTGTCTATATACACTCCTCCCTTTCTTTTAACTCAATTCCATTTCTGGGTAAGGAAATATTTTAAATGATCTTCCACTTAATGGAGAGGATCAAAGATGGAATGTAATTTGCAGGGAACAGATTTACGTCTCCTAATTTTTAAGCCACAGCACTATGTTTACTGTTACACATTCCTCCCTTTACGTGACAAGTCACAAAGACATTCAGAATTGAAATATGCCTTTCTAGGCAAGAATTTAATTCCACACTATTCATCTCCCTACCTATCTTCCAGGCAGGTATCCAATATTGCCCCCAAACTTTCAAGCCTATTAATGCCCGCGGCTGTGCTGCGTTATAATCAATCAATCGTTTTAGGCGGACTAATTAAAATGAATACAGAGATTAACTTAATTTTCATCCTAAATTTATATTTTTGCCTCTAGTCCTTTTAAATCAATTGTCCAAATGGAACAAGGAGACAATTCCTATGAGAGAAACAAATCCAACACCATAACTTTTCATGCTTGAGGGCACCAGAAACATTCTGCTCCTGAAAATAGAATGGGTTTTGCCTCTTTAATATATTGTTATTCGTAACCCATTTCCCAAATAAGATAAGGACATGCTCATGTTGCTTTCAGAACTAATGCAGTTACCTAGTATTTTTCAATATTGAAGATACTACTACATTCAATTTCCTGTCTGATATTCTCAGAGGAAAAATGACAATAGAAAAAAAAAACTTTTAAAAAATTTCTTACACATGGATCCATGTGATAAAATTTCATGATTTGTAGTATTTTGTTTGGTCTGATGCCACAAAAGTCATTACTAATCATCTCTATCTCTTGGCAGATATCATGCACAATTATCTTAGAGCACACATAACAAAGCCTTTTCTCTAATATTCAGAACCAGACAGTAATGATTACACTGTAAGTTGGAAGCTAATCATACCTCCCCCCAAAACTTCATAGCCTTTGTGAACTTCTAGCATGTTTTGCTAGAGAAATAGGTACTATGTGTTTGAGTTCCAAAATGAAAGACGTATTTGGAAACATAAAGGGGGTCTTTACTGTAGGATCTACCAAAGACCCACAATTCACTGTAAAAGCCAACAATTCAGACGTGGTCTGAGAAGATATAAAATACCATAAATGACTTCTGGCTTAAATGACTTCTGTTTCATAGTTCCTGTAAGACAGCTGAAAGAATGCTTCCAGGTGTGAAGTAGACATTAATGGTACCAGTTACAGAAAGTTACAAAGCAGAATTGATCCAAGTTATCAGATCAGTTTTGGTAGTCTTCTTTAACATTCAAAACCTGTTGAATACCTTGAACAGGTCACCAGATGTTCTATATTGTCCTTTGATGAAGATCTCAGCAAGGTATCTTTAGACACTAATGAGTTCTGTGATACCCAAATGACCACCAACTGTCACTTGGTACAAATTCGGAAGGTTCCTTCTTTGTTCATTAAGACATGCCAATTTTTTGATGAGAAGATAGAAGCAAATGGATGATACAAATAGAAGTAATCTGCTACGCAGAAGAGGTAGGTATAAAAAGAAGACTTGGAGAGAATTTTTAAAATCTTAATCAAAAGGAAAGAAGCATTCTTACTGGGTGCCTACTCATAAAAGATAAGTAAGACTATTTTTACCTCAATAACCTAATCATATATTGATGAAGACAGATATATAAACAAATTATCACTATGCAAAGTAGTGAGAGCAGCAACACAAGTACAAAGTGTTGAGTCCAGTGAAGAGCAGTGACTCCTGCCTGGAGGAAGGAGGGGCAAGAGTAGTCAGGGTGAGCTAACATTGAGGAGAGAGATTCCCAGCTACAGAAAAAAGTTAAGGGCACCCTAGATGGACAAAGTGATATGGAAAAAGGGACTGAAACCCAAAAGTACGTGGCATATTTGGGGCTAACTTAGTTGGCGGGACTCAAAGGCACTTGAAGGGGAGTAGCTGAAAATGCCTCTGGAAAAGTAGATTAGGGCCAGGATGTGAATGAAGCCTGTTCTACCATAAGCTAAGAAGTGTGGACTTTATACTAGAAGCAGTGGGGGAAGCACAGAACACTTTCAAGTCAAAGGATGATGTACCTATGGTTGGGCTTTGAAAAGATAACCTGAGAAGCTTGTAAATCATTGGTTTTAATCAAAGGTGTGCATAGGAATCATCTTGGAAGCTTTCTGTAAAACAAGGTACCCAAGGTCTACCCTCAATTTAGTGAACCTAAATCTTGAGGGGAAAGAGGACTTTTTCTAATGCTTACCCCATTTAAAAATCATTTATGTACAGTGGATTGGGAAGAAGGATGGAATGGAAGCTGGGAGACGAATTAAGAGGTTATAACAATTGTCCAGGTCAGGGATTATAAGGGTGGACAGTGGGAAAGAGAGAAAAGAAAAAATACTGCTCAGGTAAAAAAGATAAGGTAGGGGCGCCTGGGTGGCTCAGTCGTTAAGGGTCTGCCTTCGGCTCAGGTCATGGTCCCGGGGTCCTGGGATCGAGCCCCGCATCGGGCTCCCTGCTCGGTGGGAAGCCTGCTTCTCCCTCTCCCACCCCCCCCCGCTTGTGTTCCTGCTGTCGCTATCTCTCTCTCTCTGTGTCAAATAAAAAAATGAATAAAATCTTAAAAAAAAAAAAGATAAGGTAGAAGAACTGAGTCAGGTACGTGATATCTAGAAAGCAGTTGGAAGAAGGAGAATAGGAACCCAGGTGAGATAATCAAGTTTGAAAATAATTGAGCATCATCATTTAAATTGTAGCTATTCATTTGAGTATTCTGATCACTATAAAGGTGTATTTTGATTTACTGTTTTCAAATAGAGCAGGATAGGTTTGCAGAAATATCCAGTAAGAGGGTGGCTTAGAGAAAAGGTAAAGAGCTTCTAGTTACTGGTGAGATACACCTCTTACTATAAAGTAAAAATTTCATTTACAGGTACAAGTCATTTTCACATTACTTCCCCTATGACCAGACCACTCCATTCTGGCGGATGCTCTGGAATGTGCACTAACTTGAAATTAAAATTGCTACAGAATCTCTCTTAAGGTTTTGAAAGCTAGGAATAGATGATAAATAATTCATCACGCATTTAAAATCTTACAGGACAAATTATATATAACTGTATATTTCTTTTTTCACTTATCAACTATTTGTTCTCTACAAAGTGGGTGGTATGGTGCTAGCTGCTGGGGATAAAAATGAAAAAGATAAAAACTTAAGTCCTATGAGGAAGAAAAATTATTTACAATAGAAATAATTTATAGAAAAAATAATTACAATATAATGCAATAAGTATTTAATAGAAGTAAGAAAAATTGCAACATGCCATGGGAAAATATTGAGATCACCTTACCACATAAAGAAAAATGTATTTCCAGGGTGTTAAAGAGCTAAATGTAAATGTTAAATTATATAAATTAGAAAAAATCATATGGGTCTATGGATAGAGAGGAGTTGCTAAGCTTCCTCTCTCGCTGTCTCTCTCTGTCAAATAAATAAAATCTTTAAAAAAAATTCTTAAAAATAAATAAATAAATAAAAATAATGATCATGTTTTTTAAAAAGGTAATCCTTAGTGCTGGAGAGGATTTTCTGACATAGCTTGTTAATTTACTACATAAGAGTGAAAGTATGAAGTTAAGCAAAATTTCTAGAGGGCAATTTGGCAACACGTCCATCAAAGATCTTTAAAAATGTTCATTTTGGGGCGCCTGGGTGGCTCAGTCATTAAGCGTCTGCCTTCGGCTCAGGTCATGATCCCAGGATCCTGGGATCGAGCCCCGCATTGGGCTCCCTACTCTGCCGGAAAGCCTGCTTCTCCCT